TGGGAAAGTGGAGTGCGTGGTGCCTCCCAGAGGGATCGTAGCGTCGTTTCCACGTATTCACTTACTTGAACTCGGTAATGGGGCTATTCAAGTGTGGAAAGGAATAATCGAGCGTCTATAGCTGCTCACCATCAGTAGATGAAGCTCCTCTGCTATCACTATCCAGATATTTCGACACCCCTTAGATGTGATACCTTATAACGGATGTGTCATGGTAGCGTAGCAAAACACAGTGTTATGAGCATAACACTGTGTGATGGCCATACTGAGATCCCTTTTGCCTGAGACTATCAAGGCAGAGCGGAAGTGTGACGTTGGGGACTTAAATGGAGTTAATGTGTTGGAGTTTTGTTTGTTTAGGACGTGCGTCATATCAATACGATGGCAGTGAAGAGCCACAAGACGGGAACTTTAATTCTTGGGGGCGGAGTCGTAAAACATCACATCAATAATGCGAATCTGATGAGGAATGGCTCGGATTTCACCGTCTATATCAATACCGGAATGGTAAGCAAAGCTCTGCATCCAGAGCGATAAATTTAAGAAAGATAAATTTGATGTGAGGCAATTACCGTATGCAGCCTATATCGTGAAGTTGAGGAAGCGGTATTGTATTAGTGCTAAGAACGGATGCTTCACGACGACTCGTTGAAAATATGAGGGAATTTGAAGATGTTTCAGACACCACGGTTCCGCTTCATCACTGTAGCCTCTTAAGTTTTTGAACCTTGTCTGAATATTCTTCTAAATATAGCTAGAATATTGAATAATGACCAGAGTAATGGGCAAATACCCGATGGTTCCTCAGCTCGATATACAGGGGGGGGGGCAAAAAAAGACATTTCGACCGAGTCACATATCAGCAAAGTTTTCGCAGCCCAGACAGAGGACGTGGATACGAGTACCAGGGCGGAAGATACCCAAGATGTTCCTCGATAAGCAGGAGCTGGCTCTCGCCCATCACCTTCATGTACACCAAAATATGAAGTCATCTCCAGTCGCAGCCTGACTGGAGAAGACCTTTGGAATTCATGTCACCTCCAAACAGCTGCGAAACTTCTAGTGTGGAGTCACCCATGGATAGCTACCTTGGAGACCAGTACACTCCCGAAATCTTGGAAGACCCCCAATCAGATCCAGCAGCTCCCTCAACGTCGCTATGGCTTCTAGCAATATGGATGGCTATGACCATCTTCAAGCTTTGCAGTCGCCAAATCGCAGTGGTTCGGATCGGTATGGACCAAGGGTACGCAGGCTTTGGGCGGCCGCCGTACCGTTGCCTGGTAAAGGAAGACCGATAGTTTTCTTGCCGTGGCGTGTCCGCGGAATGAACGTGAGCCGCTGGCGATTTGCAACTTCGAGAAAGGATATATCCCTCGTCCACATGTCAGTACGCCGCGGTACATTCTTGTACAGGTGATCTGGCGGTTACATCGAGCAACTCGAGAAGAATATCCTCTCCACATGTCGTCGCCCGTACCTTCTTGGAAACTTTGTACTGCTACAGGATTGGGTGACACCACATGGAATCAAAGGGCGTTGGGAAAACTCTTGCCTACTTGGAATGGAAGGGCGTTGAGTACCTGAAGAAGGTGGAATATCTAAGCAGGTCACCTGACCTAAATCCCCTCAATTACCTGGTTCGGGCGGAGTTCAATAGGGTGGTCTACGGTGGCGGAGAAATCGACTATCTCTCAGGCACCACATCGCGGTCGCGTGCCAGAATCTCTCGATGGCGCTCCTCCAGAAGGCTGTGGCGGAGTATCATGATAGTATTTAATATGCTCTTTAATATGGTGGTAGAAATGTCCGATAAGAATTTAATAAAGTGTAACTTATAGCGCCTCGAAAGTCAAGGAAGAAAAAGTCTTTTTTTGCCTCCCCCCTGTATACAATTACCTCCACCTATGACTGTACCCAAAACTTCAGGTGAAAAAGCGTTATGAGGGAGTGTCTTACTGCATTACCGCGGAGGATGAAGGTGGTGTAGTGGTAGAAGACGTCGCTTCCCACGCGTGCTGTCCTGGTTTTCTCCTTGACGTGCCAGTATGGTGGAAAACCCATGTGGAAGTAGTGACTTGTTATCATTGAACTCGTTATCACTGAAGTCAGTCGGGCTGCGCAACGGGGCATGGGTTTGGCGCAGCGCCAACCCGTTTTCCACTGATCATTGCCGCCCTGGTCGTTCATTGAGTGGTGAGAATGGGGCTGGCACCGCGCCAAGAGCCACGCCTCCTGGAACACCCCGACTGAATTCACTGACGTCACTGTATAGGTGCATGGGGTTCTGAATAGGAGCACAATGCCAATGCCATTCGAAACTAAGGACTGAATGTGAATTGAGCCCAAAGCATTGAGCATCAGGGGAGGGAGAGGGAAAACCGCCAAAATTGATCAACCGGGAACGAGGCAAATTTCTCAAGTGGAAGAAATACTCCCACCCCCTTTCCCTCCACCCCATGTTAGGGAATTCTCAGCGATGATGTGCCTTAGCGTTTTCGAACGAAGAGTCTCGTCAAAACGGTTGACTTATTTTCTTTTTAACATCTTTTATCCTAAATGTACCGTGTACGTTTTTAATTAATACTGTGATTATAGGAGTTTGATGGTTCAGACTCTGGTGCGCAGCCCGACGAAGCGGTTAGCTGGGGGAAGGTGTGTCTTGCGTGTTGTTTCATGAAGTTTATGATGGATGATAGCTGGAAGTTGACCCAAAGGAATGGAAAGTACGTTTAGGTGAAACCCGCAGCTCAATCTGTGAAGGTGTGCGCAGATGCCACGTTGGTGTTTCCGCTGCTGGTGGCTGAAACGTTCGCCAAAAGAGTTTACAAAAAAGCCAAAACCACTACGTAAATCAGATTTCGCTCGGGGGTTGGATCATTTTGCACTTTCGCTACGTTCCATTGAAGTGTCGAGCTATTAAGTAGAGATCTTGGAATTCTTGTGAAGCCATGGAGTGTTATCGAACACAGTTTGTAGAAACTACTTGTGACAGTATTGGCCAATGGCAAGAAGCGAGAGTGCAGAATCCCACCCACCATGTCAAACTGCGCTCAGATTTCATATTGTATGTTTAACATTGTTGTCGTCATTGTTTTTACTGTTTTTGTTACATGCATTTTTCACATGTGAAAGAGTCTGTGTGTCTGTGATGATCTTCAATTCATATAGCGTTGAAACACTTGTTTCTTAGAAGAAAAGAAGCTACGATAAAACAGAGTCAAATGCTTCGCTGTCAAACAGGGTACCTTCATGTGATCTGTTCTCGAGGATTTTTATTACGTGTCCTATTGAAACGTGTAAAATGAGTGAACACAAAAGTAACGAGTGGATCAGATAAGTTAAAGGCAGTGTCCGCTATCAGGTATAGAAGTTGAAAATATGGCGTCGGGAGGGAAGTGTGGTCCGCGACGAACAACCGTGTACCGGTTTTGCGGCAAAATTCAATAAGCAATAAGGGAGCGATAGCTATAGCGCAATATAGGTCCAGTGACGCCTCCTTTTTTCAGGGACTCCGCCTTCAAGGCCCGCCTTTCAGGGAAGAACGAATGCTACAGGACGAAAAGTCGTCATGAAAAAGATGCGGCATTGTCAGATGAGATGGTAGTCGGCTACGGTTTACAACAGAATCGATTGGGTTCCACATGAGCAATTGCATGGTTCTTTTCTATAAACTTTTCTTTCCTGGTTGAGGGTTACATCAACCGCCTTCTTCATATATAGAACCTCGTCCCACCTCCCAACAATGCTGTGGTGGCGGAATGACAGCCGTTCTTGTCTTTAAAAATGCAGCGGCGATAAACAACGGTGCATAGTATTAAATTATGTAACGCAAACGGAGAGAAAATCAGGAATAACAAAACCAGAAACTTCAAAGTAAAGTGAAAGGAAGTAAATGAAATGGAAGACAAATAGTTGATAACCTGAGATTGAGCGACAGATTCCCGGTCAAAACTAAAGAGTTCGGGGGAGGCAAGTTTTTTGCCCAAAGAGCACCTTGAACACGCTTACCGGTCCCTTGTCATGTGCTAGTTTGAAGTGGGTCCAGAGTACAATAGCCCTGTCATTTTCTTTTGAAAAGGCGCGAACCGGGGCTTGTTAGGCCTCCAATGTGTACCGACGTGCGTCGATACTCGTAGGTGTTTGAAAGCCGAACGCGTACTCAGCGGTAAAAGAACTAACCGGAAGTGAGTGAGAGGCAGAAATAATAGCGCGTCTATCTATGGTTTAGGCAAATGTCTTCTGGTTAATCAAGGCACGTTGCTGGAGCTGCAGACCTATCCTCCACACGCACAGCAAGAACCAGGGTCCACGGTTTAATGTTTGTAAGGTTTGTTATTAACTTAAAGGCACATTCCACCGAAATACTAAGGCCCTGACCTTATCAAATGTGTCAGGTCAAAGGCGTGTCAGGTAGGCAATGGTGGAGGTTGCACAACATAGAAAAAGTGAAAATTTGCAAGAATTCCTGTGAAAGCTGAATACTTAGGCCCATCAGCACTCCTTCGGCCCCTGCCAACCTTGGCTACTAACTACTACCTAGTAGCCCCTTCTACTAGCTCCCTCCTTTCAAAATGGTGAGAGTGGGGTGATAAGGGAAGAGAGCTGACATGGGTACGATAACAACAAGTGAGAATTATTACAAACACGCCTTTCCTCCACTGTGTATTTGTACAAGCTGGCATCGGCAGGGGGTGTTATATAAGGCACTTCTGGCGGTTTTTTCTCCACTACTCAGTTACTTAGGTTAGTACTTTGCCGTTCGGAACTGGGCTCCATTATCCACCATCTGTGGTCGCGAGCTTTGCGTTCAGAGGCAGTTGGCACGGTGAATCCCTAGGACGAGGAGGATTAATACGCCTGGCATGACGGACTTCCGCGCGCCTGAGCAGGCCCTGCGTAGCGCCTTTCCCAATGCCTTTAATGGGAAGGTATCCCTCGAAGGCCCTATCAAGCTGCAACATACATACCGACCCGGACGCCCACTGCGCCTGTACGCCCACAAATAGACGACCGTACCTGATGCTCGTATTGCTTCATTTGCGAAGTAAAATATGAAGCGAAGGGATTGATGTGCAGTGCTGCGGTGCTGCATGGATATCTGGGTACATACATGCAGCCGTATCCACCGTAGCGGTTATTGCCTACAGGAAACTCGTCCAAAATGCTTCTTGAGTCATTAGAGTGAGGGCCTTTCTTCGCAGGTTTTTGACCGTTTCACTTCGTTTTTTCGCCATTTCCCACTATATAGCACCCTGCTAGCATTTCAGACTGAGTACCAAATTATCGTGCCTTGTGCCTTTGACGCGTGGACTTGTTTGTAATATCAATTGTGAGAAGACAGCGTAGACAGTTAGGCATCTGCGACGCCGGAAAAGTTCATTAGATAAGAAAACAGAAAGGGAGAAGTTAGGTTATGAATCTTTCGAAGAGAACCGCGTTGGGCGGAGCACGTGTAGGAGTGGTCCGCACTTCCACCTAAGTATGCTTCCGGTGGAAACGG